GTGCGCATGGCCCGCGCACGTCGCACGTGGCTGCTGCGGGCAGTTTTTGTACCCGCCCGGCGCTGCGTCTGGGGAGGCACGTGAAGGGAAAGGGAATCACTGCCGTGAGCTTGCCATCTGGCTTGTTTACAAAAAATAAGGTAAAGTTAATGTGCTCTACCGATGTACCGAGCGCCAGTAGGTGGATAGACGCAAGGCTGATTAATAAATCTAAAGGAAAAGGCGAGCTGTCAGTGCGGGAGGTTTTCCTGTTAATAGCGTCCTTATATTAGTATTTCTCGATCTCCTTATAAGCGTCACAATCGTCGCAATCGCCAGCGCCTGTCATATTATTGTCACCGCTTTGTTTAGTTCTCACCGACAACAGCGCGACAGCCGCGCGGACCTGACACCTGTATTTGGCATCGTTGTGCAACTCCCGTCGCGGTCTGTGGCAGGAGACACTTCCCGCTGTTAGTGTATGTTTAGGGTCGCCAGTGTTGTTGAAAATTTCATGCTAGGAGAAGCCCCTAAGGTATTAATTAACAAGTCGCGTTTACACTTGTTCGCCAACATACCGGTAATATGAAAGATGGAGAACAGTGAGTGAATTCGTGTCTGTGAGGGGACGCAACTCAACTCGAGGGATTAATTAAGAAGTTGCGGAGAGCGGCTGTGGCGGCGCATCGCGTGTCAAGGTTCGGGCGCCGCCCCGCTCCTCCTTGCCTCGCCCGTGGTTGCCGCGCCAGGGCGAAGGATTCTCTAAATTACAGGTGCGGGTGCGGGTGCGGGTGCAGGGAGCGGGGCGCGGGGTGGCGGACCGGCGAAGCAGGTCGTCGTCCGCCCGCGCAACTGGTTCTGCCCGTGACATAACTTGCATCGGCCAGCCAAGACGGTTTTTGTACCGCGCAGCATCCGCCGCCGCTTGTAGCCGGCATGCACTAATTAACCACTTAGACAACTTTCGGGCGTGACGCCCGCCGGAGCGGGAGCTACGCAAATCTCTTCTAACACATGTACAGGGTCAGTTGGCGGAGGAGCGCTCGACAAATCCGTTTAAGATGAGACGTCGATGGTCGTGACGTCACACGAGTGTGGCAGCATCATACTACACGCTGCTCGATATTAACGTCGCGACGCGATTGTCGACGCCGCTGACGTCATACTCTTCGCGCACTCGTAGTCTATAGCCAGACTTAATTAATATATACAGAACTCGCATGTAGTTGTATGGCTATGGGCAGTCGAACTTTGTTGCCGTTAGGGGCGTCTCAACGGCCCCTCTCGTGCAAAAACTCGCCCCGCACTTAAAAACTCCGGCTATTATTCGCTACATTGTATGGTTACTGTTAGAGTTTTTCCTATGCGTCGCGGCCGCAGTTTGCTCGCAACGCATAACGACCTGGACGTTTTTGCCCGCACCGCCGCTAACACACACCGTCTCCTGTAACTTAATTCATAGAAATCACCCGCGTCGTGCACCGACTCTACAATGTAACGTAACAGAGACGACGGCCAATATAATATAATAATAGCTCAAACACTCGAAAATTTATTACAATGTGACGAAAAGACTTGTCGTTTATGTCCCAAGACTGTGCGGACTTTGTTAGACTCGGTGTTGCTGTGACTGCGTCGGTCCCCCGACGCCGCTCGCGGATCATTCATTTCCACACGTACTCACTCACGCCTCGCCAGTTTCGATGTCTTTACTTCTCTTCATTTAAATTATTATAATTATTGTCTATGCCGTCAGCAGCCCTAATAGAGCAACATTCGCCACCTACAGACATTCGTCACCTATAGATCAGATGTCATCTTCTGTCAGCGACGAATTCCACATCAAGTTTAGACTCGTGTATAAATTGGACAAAAGTTATTTAAACGCGAATAGCTTACAGTATCAAAGAACACAAACAATCCGCCTCAAAGTATCGTTAAGAATGTGCAGCAGGAAGTGCAGTGTCGCCGATTCAGAGGAAGAGAGTTTTTCTCGCGGGGTACCGGGCGCGAGGCGAGGCGAGGCGGGGTGCGGCGGACGGCGGGTAACGTTTTTGCAGTGATTGCGTTTCAGTCAGTCGTTGCATAAAGTGCACCCGCGACACGGCCCGACCATCTCTCGCTCCGAACTTGTCGCCATCACTAACATCAACAGAAACAAAAGACGACCGCTATTCATAATACCTTGAAATCTGAAAAGCCAAACAGCGGACAGCACCTGTGCGCACACGCGGCGACGACGACACCGTTAATGGCATATCATCATCCAATAATATTTGGCGTTGGCGTTGGCGTGCTGAGCAAACAGCGGCGCGGGGCTATGTTTGCCTTGCGCCTGCGCACACCTGGCCGCTCTTGTTTTTCTAACAACGACCAGTTCTTCTCTGACGACAAACATTGGGCAGCGTTAATTTGACCCTCGTTTTTCTAATATTCGTGCGCGTCGGCCGCCGCGGTCGGGCCTGGGCCGCTCGGGCCCTATTACGTCTACTCACCGTCATATTCAACACTCAATCACCGTACACCCAACATAATGTACAATTCACAAGTACAGTTCCTTCATTTGGTGTTCATTTTTTTGTAAACAGCCGTTTACGAAAAATTATACTCAGAATCCGATTACATTAAATTAGTTACGGCAGAGGCGAGGGCGAAGGTGGTTGTCGCTACGCCGTGGCAGGAGCGGCGCGGGGAGGGTGGTTGCTGCGAGATCCTGCCACGGCAATTAAGCATTAGATAAGGCCGGCCGTCGCGGGCGAGCGCTAATACCATTAAGATATATCCCCGCCTTGCTACGGCTCGCCACAGCAGTGGAGGCGGCACAAATCGGTGCGTGCAGTTGCTAACAAAACGACTCGACAGGGCCGCAATAACCTGCGCGCTAAAAATAACTACCGCCGTAGCCCAACGACCATTGCGCCCGCGCCGCATCGAACGGCGAACGAATGGGTCTCTGAACTGCAATCTTCCCTCCATCTTGGTGTACAAGTGTACAGCAACCGCTCGCTCGAGGTGCTGCATCAGCGATACCAGTAGTGTCCACGACCTATGCCGTAGTGAGTGAGAAGGGAGTTCTGCATTCTAATGAATCTTGGAATTTATTTCCTTGACCAATGTAAAGCGTAAACTCTGAAGTAACAAAAACCTAAATTGCAACTTTGGTAGTCTCCACGGCGGGAAAATCGTGGTATCCGCAGGCTGTGGGGCACAGAGCCGTCCCGCGATGCGCAAGCGCAGCGGCGCGGGGCGAGACGCGCACCTGCGCCTTCGATCGTTTGATTTGATTTTAACATTTTAAATTACCTTGACCTAACTCATTTCCCTCCCTAAAGTGGTAGATAAAGTGGTAGATATATAAAAATCATTGTAATATTTTGCTACCTGAGAGTAAGTAAAAATTGTACCTTATGTTCAGTGCCTACAAGTGGCAGTGCGCGGGTCGCGTTCTCATATGGCCGCAAGCAATTTGTATCGCTCGAAACGCGAACAAAAGTAATAATCTCGGAGCCCGCGGGAACTGGTTTGCAGCAATGCCCCCTGCCACACCCCGCCGCACCGCTCGCTGCCCCTCACGGCTCCATCTCGCAACTTCTCTACTCGACTAAATATTTACTGCTTAATGGATGTTATTGTGATTAAATGAATGAATTGTTTATCCGCAAGATAAGAGCTTTGAGATTGCATAAAGTTATGAACTAGCTCTTGCCCGCCTGCGGCACGACGCTTTGGGCTCCGACGCCAGACTCGACGCGAAACTGATACCGTTAGTATGAGGATAGGTAAAGTCAGGTAGTTAGTGAGGTACGAAACATTTAATACAGCGAAAGGTGACAATTTCTTAAGTGGATTTTGGAATATAATTTGCGTTGACAGCGAACTCGTCGAAGGCATGCATTACAGCAGTGTAACTAATCCGATAGAACCAGTGGCGGCGGCGAACTGCCGATAGGATATCAGCCACGGCGGATGCGCACAAGGATGCCATCTCGTCGCTTCCGCTCGTTTATCTCCCGCGCAGACCGCGCGCGTGCGCAGCTCAGCTGACCGATACAACGACGGCCCGTACTGGACCCACTGCCGAACGTCGTCGTCTGCCAATAAGTCCCGTCACTAAGCCGAGCACGGGATCTTGTTCAGCGTTATAAATGGGCGTGGTTTTTAAGAGACCACTTTGTTACGAATAGAATCCGCATAACAAAAACCATTCACACGATTAATTTGGATTTTATCCTTTTATTTTATTTATTTGATCATCCTGTGAAGCCTAACCGAGGCGCAGTTAGTGGTACCTACATGTTACATAGTGATATTACTCCACTGTAAGTAAGGTGCTTTTTTAAATTAACTTATTGCTGCTTTACTTTTTTGCGAATTGGAAGCCATCGTTTTTATACGCGCCTTGGTCTCGGCGCGCTTGCGCATATTGATGCGCCTGCGCTTCAATGGTGCTGCGCATTTCAATGAAATCACATCGATTTTATAGAATTCGTTAAGTGGCTTCGTTCCGTCCGTCACCGTGCTGGGTGCGGTGCCTCGCGCATTTTGTGCCGCTCATGTCCAAGAAGTGGCTCTACATAATTTTGATTCAAAACAGAACTCCTTTAGAAAAAGTTATAAATATTGTGTAAAATTTCAACGGAACAAAATAAATATGAATTCAGATGGTTCGTAACAAGAGAGAGGTGTGAGAAGGTTAAATTGTATTTGTGACTTTATGATAACAAAATTACTGTGGAACAATTACTGCGACTAGTGAATAATACTTTCCTGCACACGTGTGCACAGGTGGGTCCTACACATGTGGCATGAAATGAATCCGACCAGCCGAGAGCCAGCGCGAACGCGAACAGGTTGCATTGCGGAGTTCCGTGCAGTATGCAGTGCGCAGGGCGGGCGGGGCGCGGGCGCGGGGTGGCAGTTGCGACCCGCAATAAAAATAAATCTGCAGCCGCGGATTAAAAGCTCCGGGGATCGGCGGCGCGGGGCGGGGCGGGGCGGCTGCCGCCGGCAGTCTCTCGCCGAGCCCCGCGGCGCGCGCACGCACACGTAACCTTCTCGAGTAACAAGTGCCGAGTTGAGGCATTAGTGCAGTGCGACAGTGAGTGAGTGCAGTGAGTGCACGGCTGCAGTGCCGCGAAGCACTGACCGACCGGTGGCGGCATGCTGGAGGCATGCGCGCTGCCGCTGCGCTGACCCGATGCGCCGCGCGCGCCTTCCGCCCGCGCTGCTGCTCGCCCTCGCCCTCGTCTGCCTCTCGCAAGTACGTGCTGCGGCTGTTGCCTTTCTGCACGTTTAGGGATTCTGCCACGTAGTCGACTGCTCACTTCTCTCAGTTATCGTATGATCTCTGCCTGATCATTGACATCTTTAGTAAAACATTCGATACAGCACGGGTCTACTTCTACCGTCTGATGGAGGAGACAATTGTATTGTAGATTGATCATGATTGGAATACAATATAAATATTTTTAATTTGATCGTGTGAATCAGACGCTAGTGTCCGAGAGGTGCGTGTGCGCAATGCTAATCGGCCAGCGCTCGCTTCCTTTACATTGTTGGTCTATTTAAACGGAGGTCCGCGCGCAGCGGTCTCTCAGCGTTATCGTTCCCTTCGACTTAGATGAATGTGTTGCAACAATCATAACAGAAAACCATAATATTGTGTGTGCATCACTGTACATATACATAATATGCGCACACTAAACATGGTTACAGTAGCCATAAACGAAATTCGCCTGACGCTAAAGTCCCAGACGAGTGTGGATTAACCGTTCGGTTTAATACCTAGGTGCAACAGGTAGGTGTATGATGATTTTGTGCACGGTTTCGGCGCGGACGGCTATGAAGAGATTCGATGGTAACGCGATTGATGCGCAACCGACGGCTGGAAAGGGGCGCAGGGGCACAGGCGCAGCTGCCGTGAGCGAGACCCCTCGGTGATAACAGTCGGTCATAACCGTTACGGGCTTGTCGCCAAACAGACTGGTATTTGCTCACTCGCATCGCGACTGTTGACGACTTAGTTATGTACAATGAAGCGACAAAATAGTATTAAGCAATCAAAAAGGTTGTCTTTTTTTCAATATTTAAAATTGTGAATAAATACAGTCGCGTAATAACCATTATCCGGATTGGTTTAAGTGACGTAGCAGCCGGCAGGCGCCTCCACAGCACAGCTCAGCAAAAACCCTAAGCGAAAATTACAAAACGGATTGAACGTATACGTTTGCCATTGACAGTTTGTTGGTGAAAAAAACTACAAAGATCTGCACTTAACTAAGCCAATGGAGTTCAGAACTAGAATTTGGCCAAAAGTGCGTTTAACGACAGCTTCTCTATAAGTTGACATCACACTATATACACAGTACGTTCAAAAGCACAATTATTTCAACAAAAGGATTGAACATCTATGCACGATCCTGAGGATACGCAGTTCACTCCTGGTGCCGCCCTGTCGCAGCCTGTTTGAACAAACGAGAATATCACTCAAACAATGAAGATTGTTTATTCCCAGCGACAACGCGACGACGGCGCGCGCGCACGCGTTGATGTCTTTTGTACGAATTGTTTGACATTTCGCGACCTCTCTGTTTTAATTCACCACATCATTCTGCTTTTTTAACGAAAGCATTTTTATTCAGATAAGAGCACCGTATCCAGAAATAATGCGGCATAATCGGCGGCGTGCTCAAAGGAATAACTTTGCCTAGTAGAAACACAATTTTCGGAATTCCATTAAATTCAAAATAAATCCCATTTTCGTATGCTTTTAATCCTCTAAACAAAATGTTTTATTGGTCTGTGTGTATACGAAACCATAAAGTTCACATAAGTAGTACTTGGATAATATATGTAAATCCACGGGAGTGAGTGCACCGTTTCATCCTTTCTAGTAGTTTCCACTTCCTAGGAATGCATTTAAATAATTAGATACTTAAATTGTGCATTGATACCGCGTATTTTGTGATTGATATAGCGTACCGCAAAAGACCTACAAATCTGTTTGTACTTTGTGGCAGTTCTCATGAAATTCCGAAATTCGTGCTTTCGATTCTTATGAAAAATATTAGGAAGAATTTGTATTCATTTTTTGAACATTTCATAGTACTTATCTAAATAGTTTTTGATCATATAGTGGTCCCCAAAATAAATTACTTTTAAGAAAAGGTATAGTGATAGTGCAGTCGGAACATTTGACGACGAGGAGAGACGAAACCAAAATAAACCAAGAAAAAATAGCGATATAAACTTACTTTTAGAATTAATATTTTGTGTAAGTTTACTGCTACCAATAACTCGTCTGACTGTATAATTAATAAATAAAATCAAATGCTTAACTTCTTTTTATATGATGTGAGGGAATGACTGTCAAAATATAGCTTGGAATTTCAAATTAAATCTTTTTATAGTAGAACCTTTTTGCTCACACATGTTGAACTTCGTCGTTTTGAAACGTCTACAGCGCTCCTAAGTTTCAAAAACTTTTATATACATTTGCCAAAGATTAAAAATGCGTTCACAAATCAAGTGAAGGTAAAAGGGCGAGGGAATGATTTGTTTTGATTGGGACATGAATAATACATATTTTTTAAATTTATTTAGTGTTTTTACCACAGGGTAGCTTTAATTTCGCAAAAATATATTTTATTTGATCGAATATTTAAAATTTAAAGGTTATTTTTGTTAAATGTGTTGATTTATAGCACAAAACGTGTTTGATTATGGAACTTGGGACATAGTGAGGGAATGATTTTGGGGACATTTTTATATTATTATTTTTATTTAAATAGAATAATCAATAGTTTATGTAGGCATTAGTAGCAATTGAAGTATAATTTGCTATTAAATTTTATTTTTATGGCAACAATCAAACACTTTTTTATAAACTTAAAGGACAAGAATTTCGAAACTTTGTAAAAATTACCCATTTAGTCTTTTTCATCAGTTTAGTTTTAGTTTTTAAATTTAATTGTTTTGTCTGTTATTTATGCACGAGCACGACCCACACACACACAGATATCTTGTAGGTACTTCGTCGTTTCTGTTCCTAAATATGTACACTGTAAGTACATTTTATTGGACCTTGCTTACTCCTCGCTAATACCCGAATATCGGTACAGTCCGCTCCAACTAATATGTGCACCATGGGTCACATTTCTATTCGCCTAGAATTTGTTACTCTTTCTAATCTGGGGAAACGAGTCCAAATGTAACATTGTGCAACCGTATTTCGGACGATCGGCTCACAGAGTTGTCAAAGGCCGCTCAAGCGCTATTGCGTCTGGACACTTCGAGGTCGCACTCGAATCGTTATGGCCACGTTAAGCTTCAGAAATTAAATCCACGCATGCATTGTGTGGAGGGTTTTCCGCCATGTTGTTCCGATATACTATAAATGCATGAACGCCATTATAGTGTCGGCGCATGCGCCCTCTCGCTACGCAATATTGCAATCTTATCATGCTCACAAAGGAGCACCAATATTTACACATCCGCCACCGCTTTTCATCTGTTATTGACGATGACGTCACAAATGTAACACATAAACTCTACTTGTTTATGAATGCGCCTGCGCTGTCGACTGACCAGCTGCCATATACATGCATGTGTTGTCATTCTTAATATAATTGGTGTGAATCGTTGGAGAGAGGATTATGTCGCCATGCAGAGGCTTTGCAGCGAAGTAGAAACAGTGTCACGAGAATGTGTTAATTATTGCCCTCAAAGGCGCGGGCGCCACTGTTGTGTTATGTCAATGAATGCTTCTTATAAATTACCTCATTTACCAATTGTAAGTTGGCACAGAAATGAATAGGAGTGAGCTGATAGTGTCGTAGCATCTTTTGTTTCAAAATACACCATTGTTATGTGTGAAAGTACCAATAAGCTACAACTATTACTTTATAATGGAAAATATGTGTGTGGTGAAGCACATTGCTTGCTTGAGGCTTGATTCGGCATCGTGCGTAAATATTTTAGTGAACAATACATCACGTGTGTACATTCATCTTACCTGCACAAATGGGTAATTTTCGGGGAAGTTTTCTCTACTTAATTACGGTGACAATTTTCATTATTTAAGTATTCGAGTAAGTTATCATAAAATTTTAAATTTTTATTGAATTGGTATTCAATTATTTTTTGTGGAATTACTCCACTAGTTTGTTATAATTATTAATACAAAGATCGAACACACAAACTAGTGGAATAATTTTACAAAAAATAATTGAATGTCAATTCAATAAAAATTTAAAATACAGCGAATAGCGACATCTCTCGCCAGGACTGGTAGCTGTAAAGGTACTAACTGGGTGACAAATCTTTCATAGATTTCTCATAGATGGCGCTACGACTAAAAAGTTGTTGAAAAACCAAATACAAAAACACGAAGCACGCACATAGAAAAATTCGTGAGGTCGGCTGGTTCGTTCCGTGGCTTGGTTTGGTATAGCGTGTGACACGGTAAGCTAGAAGTCGTCAGTTCTAATCGGGCCGGATCGAAGGAATTTTCTCTGAGTGTTCGATCTTTGTATTAATAATTTATAATAAAATATTAAATAATATTTCAGGACACCACACTCAAATATTAAATAGTACTTCATGGTAATATTCTACAATTTTACTACTTAAAAGTAGTAAAATTGCTACTGAAATTAGGCAGAGAAAACTTACCCGAAAATTACCCAAGTACGTAAACTTACTTATACATAATTGTAACATACATATACTTCTCGTATTAGAAATCAAGTAGTCGATGCAAACCGCCACACGAACATGCCACTAAAAATTCAATAATACTATCCTGTAGATTTAACTCCACGATTTTGGAACGCAATAAATGTAAATAAGAAAAATAAAGAACAATTGATACTTATTCGTAATTTATCCCTATTTATTTATTTGTACAGATGTAAACGAGGCAGGGAAAATTAAAATTCCTTTTTCTTGGCTCATTCTATTACACAATTCATAAAAACAAGTAAATCCAAGCAGCTATATGTCCTCTGGTTCTTATTATTATCTTTCTTCTTTTAGGACTTATCATTAACGCCGTGTGACTTTAGGGTTGTTCTCCATAGGGATGTATATCTGTTAGAATCTTATTCTTTACTTGGTCAACGATGTTGATGCGATTTTTAATATATAACGCTTACAACAAATTAACTTTAACACACACAAACACACACACACACACACACACAAACACGCGCGCGCGCGCGCGCGCGCGCACGCACTCAACATAGCCCCGCACGAGGGGAAACCTTGTGTCGCGGGTGCCATGGACAACCACAAATTACACCCAAACTCACGAGAGAAACAAAATGTAGGCCATACAAATATTTCTCCCGGCCCGGGAATCGAACTTGAGACCTCTGCGTGGCAGTCCGGCATGGTAACCGTTCGGCCACGGAGGCAGTTAGGTTATGATCGTAGTGCGGGAATAACATTCCACCACCCATACGCAGTGAGACATTCAAATATGAAGTCAAAGCTCTGGACCGGCAACACCCACTCTCACTACAAGTCTGTGTCGCGTGTTTGTACTTGTTTCCCTCTTCCTAGAATGGAATTTTATGTTTACTATCATCTATCCACATTATACTTCCCCTATCCCTTGACACTAACGCAAACAATAATGTATGTCTATTATTATAATCGTGTACCTATTATGCGCGGATTTTTCGTTGCAAGCTCGGTACGGTGGGCAACGTATTTTAGTTTTCGCGCTTTTCGCAACGCTCGGCCGCCGCCCGCACGTCGCTCATAAGTGCTCGAGTTTTGACGCGTGTAAACTATTATATCATAAGTGTATTGCGAGTACGTCGTCATTATATGGTGTTTTTAAAAAGGTGTCTGCAGGATTGACTTTTTTATGCCTCTTATAGTTCTAAGTGCACGTTTTTGAAGAATAAACACTCTATTTGAGTCGGTTGAGTTACCTCGCAGTGCGATGCTGCATGACATTAACGAATGACAATACGCAAAGTACGTCTGCCTCCAACACCACACTGGAAACAAGAGGACGCAGTTTACTTAGTGCGTGTGTAGCATTTTCAAGTTTTTCGCACAGAGACTGTACACATGCTTAACGTGGAGACGTTGGACTCAAATTTGCAAGTGTTCCATAATGGAACTGCAGAGGTGACAATTGGCCATGATATAGAATTTCTTCCGGGGAACAACATAGATTCAAGTTCGATATGTTAAGAATAAGGCAGAGAACTGAGAATACTTTATACGACACTAGAGCTATTCACAACCACAATTTACTCCGACAGCCAACCTGCAGCTGTGTTTATGTTCACACTCCACATACACTTACATATGTAATAGATTATTTTAGATGCGCTAATGTACCCTTTATTACGTAGGTACCTACTAGGTACTAGGTAGTCGCTATATTTTTGCTTACAAATTAGGATTATTTAATTAGGATTACGATTAACCTCTCGTTGGTCCTGACTGAAAACCAGCGCCTTAGGCACTTTGGTATATACCGACTCAGCGCCATTTCACTGCTTTGACAATAATGTTATGTTTTTACTTTTGTGTTTATTCTGTATGTATGTCATATTGTGAAACAAAGAATGCATTTTTTGTACCAATGTACCTATAACTTTCATCAGTGTCGATGCACAATGACAACGCAGGCCGCAACGCGCGTTGCCCTTTATGGTGTGGACAATTTACTTTTGCTATTTCACTGGTTTGGCGTAAATAACTCAGTCTGTTGATATATGAGCATGAGACAATGCTGCTAATTTATTCTTAGTTTCAACCCTTTGACCTGACTCCGACTGTTCGTGATGTATCCATACCCATATCCGACCGTCTGCGGCTATTTCGAATGGACCTACATGTACTTCGTCAGATACACAGAATCCATGGCCAAAAATTCAGCCAGGAAGCTTAGCATCCTTTCCAAGGTGAAGTGTGACTTCACACCCGGACTGTTGCTTCACGTGTACCAAGCACAAGTCCAGTCGTGTAGGGATGTATGTGTGTGGGATGGTTCTGCTAAAGACCAAGATTCGTTCAGTTGACAAGCATGCCAAGAGGCTCGGGTGACGCGGATTTAGTAGAGCCTTCAATACCTCCTTATAGCTGTCTGCTTGTCGGTACTCAACAGTATGCATCATGGAGAGTTCCGTCATCGGGGGTCTAGACGCAGGCTGTAGTTCCACCCCAATGTTGTAGATATTCCTAGGATTCGCACGAAGCGATAAGATTCCGGCTTTACTTATTTGATGAACGGCTATGGAGTGGAATTCCCCGCCTGCAGACATGTTCCCCGAACGCTACAACTTGGGCCTTTTTAAGGTGAGCGAAAACAAATATACCTACACGATTTATATTCGAATAAAAAGTAAATAAAAATAGTATCATTTTTTATGTGTAACAATCGCAAAAACCGAAGAACCTGAAAACCTGCATCTACGACCAGTTGGTGTGACTGAAAGACACGACGAGCGGCATCTGCCATAATAGGAGGTGATTTACAGATACCATCACTTCGATCTACCCCACCTTGCTGATGTGACATTTAAAAAGCTAAGGGGTGAGCATCTTGAGGAATTATCTCGTTATCAAAAGATTGTTCCGAGACTTTTCGTCAATTTTCCTTAAGGTTGATTAATATGTGTAACTTCAAGAGTTACAAAAGAAATTTTTAAAGTTCCTGGACTATCGCTCTGGTTTTTGCTATATTGACTACGAAGCTAGTGTCAAAAGGCATAACGTACAGTCGCTAATTTCTAGACGTCATTTCCAAGAAGTATATTTTTATTATAGATTTAGTATGTATATAGGTACGCATGTACCTATATAATAAATCTTTGATTTTTATACAAGCGCATTGACAATTACATTGATTCCGCTGAGCTTTTATAGGAAATCTCGTCTTACGAGTATACCTCGTTAGATTCGAGTCTCGTTCGAAAAGGACGTTTTATGTTTCAACTGTCGAACAAATTATGCAAAAAATATCTTTCTCATGCGATCGTATAGTTTTTAAGATAAGTGTACATTGTGACGTTGAAATGTTTGCAAATAATTCTTTAAATGCATTTACTAAACAGTAGAACTGACGTTCTAGTGGTTCTAATGCAAATTATTATTATTATGTTTTGTATCCGTCACATATATGTTTCAATATACGGTACTTACTACCTATAGGTCTATTTATACACACTTGTTTGCAAATGACCGTTAATTACCTGAATAAATAAATAATAACAATGACTCCTCAAATTTTAATTTTAATTTAATATTTAATTTTTCTTAATAATTATCGTATTCAGCATGTCCCTGAGTTTTAATCTAAACGTAGTTCGTATCACAGGTTTTCAATTTAGCATGTTATTTTTGGATGAAGGATTCACTAAGCATTATATTCCAGAAACCGAGATCATTCGAAAGAGGCAAGATTGAATAAAACAAAACCAACAATGTATAATTCAGTACAAACGCGCCGATAAAATATGGTTGAGAGGAAATCACCACGTTGGATAAATGCTCGTCCTGTTTGTTGTCCTCGTGAGAGAACACGTGTTCCCCATGACTCAGCCTAAGAACTAAAAGTGCCTATAAAACCTAACAACTCGACAGTCAGATGAGCCTCTTGTTGAATGTATCACTTGGACCGTTGACCGTGACCACGCACCCCCGCTGCAGGCTGCAGGCGCTGTGATTGCACACGCGTATGTGTGATGTGACATGTCTATTATATGTAGAGATGGAAAATACCTGCTTATACATTTTAAACGTTAAAACGTTGGACTTTTTATATAAGCGTGCATTTAATAGACTTCACATAAACGCTTTTTAGTTTGAAGCTTACACAATCGTTTAGAAAAACGTTTAAGTCAGTTTTTGTTGACAGCGAAAAACACGAGTGTGCCACTAAAGGTTCTGATCGGTAAGTTTAGTAAAACACGAGTTTTAGTTTTATTTGTAATATTTATAATACTCGCTGGTGCCCGCGATGCCATCCGCGTAGAATAACTATTTCGAGTAGCCTACTGTACTATACTAATTTTCATAGTTTTATGGGTTCTCCGTATGAACTTTCAACCCCCTTAAGATTTATTTTTGTGACAAAAGTAACCTATGTCCTTGACCAAGGTCCAAACTATTTCACTTCATCAATATTGGTTTAGATGAAAACGTAACAAACAGAGTTACTTCCGCTTTTATAATATTAAATTGGATTATTCACGTAGACAAATTAATTTGTCTAGGAAACATACATGGCGGGACGTGACACTTAGGCACGGTAAAAAATGGAATTGTTGAGTATTGAACTGAGTAACGCTTTCCACTTAAAATTATTAGCGTGCTTGGGCTTGTGCTTATTCTCAAAAGCAAATTTTTTAATTGCTTCGCGTTCAAACGTCCACCTCTAATTATAAGCGACTAGAGTTTCCAATGCACGGCCCACTATCCTTGAATCGCCAAGCCACACTTTGCAATGTTTATGTTCGATAAACAACTTGCGGATATAACTGTATTCACTTCCATGACAATAGTACCTACACATACCATACATCAATTGATACATATTCAATTATTTTTTATATTACTATTAACATTTCTGTCGTTTGTATGCACACTATATAACTACACGAGAGGTACATCGAAGGTGAATGTCAAGCACGATGATGTTCGTTTGCTCTGCACCAATTATTTCGTAGAAGAGCTCTAGCGCGCGTGCGCCCCGCCGTCCGCGTCTGCGTTCGCGCGGTGGTGAAAGGCGTGTCCTCGGTGGGCGTGCTACGTATGCCCCGCCCCGCCCCGCGGCGTGACGCCCCGCCTTACTCGCCCGAGTGCGCTTTAATCCGCTGGTTTCTTCGCCTCTATGTACTACGTAGAAAGTTTACATCATATTTGTGTTGCTACCAAGGTACGAGTGCTGATCTCGTACGATAACAGAACGTTTGGTCTGATCGTCAATGTTCAAGTAGGTGCATGAGATCATTGCTGGTCGGCTATTTATTCGGTCGCATTTGACATTTATTTTTTATTTTATTTCCCATTATCCAAATAAACCAAGATAGCACATGTTAGATCCCGTCTGCTATATTATAGATTTCACACATTTTTTTAAATTGTTGACACATTCGTAACGATATTGTAAATAAATTTGACTCCCAGAAGTGACGAAGTGTCTCGCTGACTTGAGCTCATCGCGTTGCAGAGCGCGGCGGGGGCGGGCGTGTTCGAGCTGCAGATCCTCGAGTTCAGCAATTACCGGCTGCAGCTGGCATCAGGCGCGTGCTGCGCCGGCGGCCGCCGCCCGCCGCCCGGCGCCGCCGCCGCCGCCTGCAGCCAGCCCTGCCGCACGCGTTTCGCGCTCTGCCTCAAAGAATACCAGTCCGCGGCTGCGCCCGGCGCCTGCTCCTTTGGCCGCGCCGCCTCGCCCGTTCTCGGCACGGACTCCTTCACGCTTGCCGAGCCACTCTACACGCTCTCCCTGCCTTTCTCGTTCCGCTGGACGGTGAGTCTCTCGCTTTTCCTCGCTCTCCGTTTGTCGCCTTCTGATACTGAAACTCCGTTTCGTTTGCAGCGCTCGTTCACGCTCATTCTTCAGGCTTACGACGACTACAACTACACGGACCCGGGTGAGAAAATAGTAGCGTTGTTTCATACTCGGAACCGGGCTCGTGCAGCTCGATTTCGACTCAGCGAATGTCGCGTGTGTCGTGCGCAGAGGAGACGGGCCTGATCGAGGAGGCGTGGTGGTCGGGCATCGTGGAGCCGGGCGCCGAGTGGCACGCGCTGCGCCACGCCGGCGCCGCCGCCGCGCTCGCCTACCGCGTGCGCGTCACCTGCCAGCCCAACTACTACAACACCACCTGCACCACCTTCTGCCGCCCGCGCGACGACAAGTTCGGCCACTACACCTGCAGCGCGCAGGGCGACAAGCACTGCCTGCCCGGCTGGCAGGGCGACAACTGCGAGAAGCGTCAGTACCCTCCACCACGTTCCTGTACTTTCTCTTCCTGACCGTGACGTGCTATCCGGCTTACGGTTCTCTCTTTTTACAGCCGTCTGCAAAGAGGGCTGCCACCCGACACACGGCCGTTGCGACCGGCCTGGCGACTGCGAGTGAGTAATTGTGCCTTTTTGTCGATAAACATCAAGGACATTATTGTTATATAATATTGTCAGAAACAATTTTTTACGAATCTAAATCGTACTTATTTGTTTTTTTTTAAATAAACCAACATTTCGAGCCGGCAGACAGATCTCTGGCTTGCATTAATATTAAACATTAATACTGCATGAGTATTTTCCATTCGGATTATTTTTTAAATACAAAAATCGTGACCCTTCAATCAAAGTAAATCTAAGTTAAAAACAAAATTATATTCGTACGTGCTTTTTCCATGTCTAACGCTGGTAACACTAACGTCAAATTCCACAAAATGGACGATTTCTTGCCACACTAGTGACAACGTCCAGCCGCTAGTGGTTGGGTGGCCGCGACCAGTGGGCGGGGGGCATTAATTCATCTCAGTCAGCCGTGATGATGGATCCCGTAAGGGTTCTGAAACGTATATGCGATTTAAATAAAGAAAAAGAAATCGAGTTTTTAGGTTTTCGCGATTGTTACATATATTCGGGCCCTTTACAGGTCCCATCGAAACGTCGGTTTGTTTGAAAAAACAAATATACGCGATTGAAATCCGGAAAAATAGTTTCATTTCCTATAAAGAAAAATAAACACGACAATAAAACCAAATTTTCGTTTCCTACAGCTGCCGACCGGGCTGGCGTGGCGAGCTTTGCTCGCAGTGCCAGCCGTATCCCGGCTGCAAACACGGCTACTGCAATGGCTCCTCGTGGGATTGTACTTGCGACACCAACTGGGGCGGCATACTCTGCGACCAAGGTAAATAGGTGTCCTTTGGCGACGAGTGTCGTATTTGGTAACCAAGTGGAATTATAACATGAGGCTTTTCTCTTTTTAGATCTCAATTACTGTGGTACGCACGAGCCTTGCCAGCACGGAGGGACGTGTGAAAACACGGCGCCCGACCAGTACCTGTGCTCCTGCGCCGAGGGTTTCTCCGGCGTGGATTGCGAGCGAGTGGACAACCCTTGCGCGCCGCAGCCGTGCGCACACGGCGCCTGCGCGCTGGCCACGTCGCCGCGGGGCTTCACCTGCGCCTGCGACGCCGGCTGGACCGGCGCGCTCTGCGACCAGGACGTGGACGACTGCGCCAGCGCGCCCTGCCACAACGGCGCCACCTGCCGCGACCTGGTGGACGCCTTCAGCTGCGATTGCGCGCCCGGCTGGACCGGACCCGCCTGCTTCGACGGTGAGTGGGTGCTGGCGCACCCACGCTTGGTGCGAAGAGTTTAGTCAGAGTGGTGTACGGTGTGTTTCGTCGTAGATGTGGATGAATGCGCGGTGCGGCCGGAGGGCGGCCCGGAGGGTGCTGCGGGCCCGTGCGTCAATGCGGCCGCCTGCAACAACACCGCAGGCGGGTACTCCTGCGCCTGCTTGGCGGGGTGGACGGGCCGCGACTGCGAGCTCAACGTGGACGACTGCATAGGCCAGTGCCTAAATGGCGCCACCTGCATCGACCTCGTGGACGACTTTCACTGCGCATGCGCCGCTGGTTATGTGGGACGCACCTGCGAGCGCGACGTCGACGACTGCGCCTCGCGTCCCTGCCGCAATGGTGGCGAGTGCGTCGACCTGCTCGACGCCTACCGCTGCATCTGCCCCGTCGGCTTCTCGGGCACCGACTGTGAGGTGAGATCCCCGCATCGCATCACTCGCCCCTGCCATTCTTTTTTCTCTTCTACCGATCTCTTTCGAGCTCCTCTCGACTTAATGTGTACTAATTTTATGTCGATTCAGGACCTGTCTACTAACAAACTAACACATCCTCTGCCTTTTAGCTGTCATCCTGCTACGGCCGATACTGTCCCGTAAGTATATTTTGCGTTTCTGTATTTGTGTGTCGTAACCAATTTTTGATCCACTCATACGCAAAGCAAACCGCGGTGAAGCCATTTGTGTATTGAGTATAACCAACGGTGCGGTGTCGCAGGACGACCGCGACCATTGCGCAGACGCGCCGTGCAGCAACGGCGCGCCGTGCTACACGGCGCAGAGCGACTACTTCTGCCACTGCACGCCCGGCTGGACCGGCAAGAACTGCACGCAGCGCGCACCCGCCGCGCGCCCCGCTTACCCGACCCGTGCGTATTCCCATGCATTATTATTTATTTAGCTTACTTGTGCTTCGACGCCGCTGCCTTTTTAAGAACTCGACAAATATTGTTACGTGTGTGTCGGTGCAGACGGCGAGTCGTGTGTGGGCGGAGTCAGGCCACGTTGCCAGTGCGACCCCGGTTACGGCGGCCCGCTCTGCGCCGACCGTCAGTCCAAATACATTTCCTTGACATTTCATTTTATTTTCGCCAACGATCGTTAACAACCGTCTCGTTCTTCAGGCGTGGAGGACTGCACCGAGGGCGGGTGCGGCGCCGGCGGGAGCTGCGTGGAAGCGCCGGGCGTCGCGCCGCGCTGCGTCTGCCGCGCCGGTTGGACGGGCGTCCGCTGCGAAACCGGTAACAGTAGCGTGTTCCCTTTGTTACATTGGAAGTAATTGCAAGATTAAATTTTAGTTCGTTCGAGTTAAGAGCGAAACGCACTAGCACAGTGGGTTTGCGTTTTTTCATTAGTGTCTAGTTGTACTTGAGAAAATATTGTCTTTTTCGTTTCCAGAAATAAACGAATGTGCGACTAATCCGTGCCGCAACAACGGCACCTGCGTCGACGGGCCGGCCGATTTTGTTTGCGTCTGCCCCGAGGGCTGGAGGGGTGAGTCGTGTCGCCCTGGCGAACCCCTCGCCGCTAGTGCTCACCGGAGCGATCCGCGAACTGACGCGGCGCCAATTTCTCAGGGAAAACGTGCTCGGTGCGAAGCGACTACGAGCGCTGTGTCGATCGACCGTGCGCCAACGGCGGCACGTGCGTGCGCGACGCGGGCGGCTGGCGCTGCGCCTGCGCCGCCGGCTGGACCGGCGCGGCCTGCGACGCCGCGGCGCACGCGCCG